TGCCTTTGAAGCAGATGTCACATGAGTTTCCTTCACACAAACATCACATGTAAATTTAACTTCTTGGTACTGTGCTTTAAGAACAAAAGCAGATATCAGAACATGGAGGACAGGCCTCCAGAAATAGCTTATCAGCTACATAAAATAAAATTAAAAAAAAAAAGAGACAGTGGCCACTTACAAGTCTTCCACATGACTAGCTTGCTTTAAGGAGAGCGTCAAGTTAAGGCAGTGTTGAGACAACTGGCTAAGAACATGCCAAATAGAGCTGTTGTCAGTAGTCACCAATTTGATATCCTACTCCATTTCAGGGACGGGCCACGTGGCTTTAGATCTCAGTATCAAGGTCTAAAGACTTCAGCCACAGGATGCTGCTTTCAGCAGCAAGCAGAGACTCAGAGGGATGTTTGTTGAAGTCTTCTAGACCAGGCTGAGCTGTTTACAAGTCTAGGTCAGTGTTTCAGCAGAGCCAAAAATACAGTGATGGGCACTGAAAGAGAACACCGAGGGTGCCAGCTGCAAGGCTGTTTTTCACAGTCCGAGGTGGAGTTCAACTTGTGTGTGAAAGCCACGTCACCAAGAGCCACCCCACCAGCTTTCAGGGAAGGTCTAAGTACCTGCACTGAGGGTACTGGGAGAGCCAGCTCTCTACAGTCTGCAGGGTGGGTACAGAGGCTCACACTGGCTTCGCTCCTCGTTACAAGATTAACAGTCTAATAAAACTCGGTAAGGAAGTCAGGGTCTTTTGGCCTGCCCAAAGAAGTTTTCCCAGCCTCAAAGAAGGAGTTACCACTGAGGGAGCTGTTGTGGAATAGTTTTATTTCTTCCCACGTAAAGGCCATTGTTTAAGCATTTACAGGTTTCCTAGTGCAATACAACCAAAAAAAGCAGTAACAAAAAAATGCCGCCTTCTTCCCAGGCAACTAAACAGAAGTAGATTTTTACTGCAACATATACACATTAAATATAGTATACAGTCCATGCAGCGGCATAGCCATGTTAAAGGGAGTCGTGGCTTCAGCCATCAGTGCATTACAGTCCAAATTTCACTTGCTCCTACTTCCTATCCAGACTTGAAGAGAAGAATTGCAACCTGACCCAAGTAAAAATAGATGAAGTGCTTTGTCTCATGTGTTACATAGCTGCCAAAGTTTCTGCCAACAATGCAGTGCCAAGTTGGGTTGTATTTCTTGTCAAATTCCTGAAGAAAGAGAAGAGAGGCATTAAGGCCAAGAAAGCCCACATGAAAATAGTTCTCAGCACAAATTCTTCATTGGTTCTGCTCACACACTATCGCCTCTCCTCCCACCTGCAACATCTTTAGATTCCCCACTGCAAGACACTATTATATTAAGCAAGGTAGTGACTAGACACAACCAGACCTCTGCGCTGGATTGTTTGAAGGATCCAACACAAGCAAGTCATCTCCTGAAACTCAGAGCACCCATCAGCCCTGGGCAGAAAGAGCAGATGCAAGAGCTCTCCTCGGTATGCAAGCCCTGCATGTAGGCTAGCTCAGGGGAATATTTCTCCTCTCCCATTCCAAACCCACTCACAAAAAAAAAATAAAAGAAGATTTTGGCATGTCTGCTCCAGCAAGGCATTTGAGCTTAAAGGTCACCTAAAAAAAGGAAGGAGAAGGTTGGCTTCTGCTGTTTGGGGCTCTTCCTCACATAAAGGGGAAAAATTGACATTGGAAACGAGCAGGCAAGCTCACAGGCCAAACGGCACACGGAGACCTAAGAGGTCGGGGCGAGCGAGCCGAATGCTGGCTTAATAGCGAGTCTTCTCCTACTTAGCAGGTAAGAGGGTTAAAGACCATTTTCCTCCCTCTAATTAATACACAACTCCCAAGAACACCCTTCCCTCCCCTGAGACAGAGCCAGAAGAACAGACTCAACGTTCAAGATTAAAGCAAGTGTTAGTCCTCAGACAGCGGCAAGACAGTTTGAGCTCTTTGCAGGTAACCTTTGAAGTAAGGAAAAGGCTTTCCTGCCAGGGCATGAAGGGGCATCAAATTGCTTCCCTCCTCCCAATACACTCTCAGGAAATAAAGGCCAAACCTCTATTTGGATGTCTTCTGTTGCACTCGCTCACTTTACAGGCTGCGTTGCCCCGAGCACTTTGAGATAAGCTTTGCCTCAAAAGTGATCTGAGAAGTTAGGAGCCACCTTCGAACCCTTCACATTCAAGCTTAGATCACAAGCAAGGCCCAAAAGCTAGCCCAGGTGCCAGGAACACACTGCCTGCAAAGTCACCCTTTCCTCCTTCAAAAGCACTGCCTGACCATTCGGAGAAGCAGCTCCAGAGGGAACTGACAGCTCCTCAGGTGCCATCAAGCACAAGACTTCAGTTAAGGGGCTGCTCCTGCAAAAGGGGAGACACCTCTTCACAAGTCAGGGCAGCTGCTTGCCCTGGTTTTAAAGCAGCCCATTTCACAACCCTCCCACCAGCACAAGGCCCCCAGCCTCCTCCCCACCACCTGCCCCAGAGCCGGGAACAGGGCAGGCACAACAGCTCATGCACAGCTGCCCACTTCGAGTGAAGGGTCAGAGTAATCCCACCAGGCACCGGTGCTGCAAGTCAAGCAGCAGCATCTGTGGAGCAAGTCCTAAGCAGAGACTGCAGCCAGCTCTTTCTATGCTGGCAAATCCAGAGGGACAGCACTCACTCTTGTTTGCTCAGAGCTTGCCAGAGCAACAGACCAGGCCCTGCTCTGCCACAGCCATCCTCTGACCTTGGAGAAGTCACTCCATCCTCTTGGGAACAGCAGTAAAGAAGCCAAGAAGAAAGCATCTTCTCCCTCCAAACGCGCAAGTACGAAGGCTCAGACACTCAGGCTCACGACAGGCACACATACTTAAGAGCTTCAGGAAGTCTCAGCCAGAGCAGCCCCCTCATCCCGTAGTTACCTTCTTTATATACGCTGCAATGTCCTTTTCTATGTTGTACTTCTCCATTGCCTGTGTAGCACAGTCTACAGCATCCTGCTGCATGTCCTCAGACATGTCCGCATTCTTGATCACAGCCTTTCTGTCAGACATCGTGAACCTAAGGCAGAACATAGATTCCTTTAATCCCTTCCCAAGAAAAGCAAAGCCTCCTGTGCATCAGAGGTTGTCCTTTCTACGGCAGGCTGCGGCACTACAAACCCCCTGTTACAGCCCGGGGGAGTTTATCAGGGCAACCCACAGCAGTCCCAGGGTGAGGCACCCCTTATGGCTGGAGCACTGGCACTGCCCGGAGGGTAGACATCACCACCTGCATTAACCACAGGCAGAAGGAGCTCGCTGCGTGGGAGGAGACGGGATCTGCAGAGAGCCACAGCCCTCCTCCACATCCATAGGCTACAGCCAAGTTTGCCTTCCAGGTGCCCCAGTGGTTCAGAGCATCATCTTGTCAGGGCCTTGCCAACAATGGATCCCAGGCTGCCCTTCTCCGGCAGGGAGGCTTGGGAAGCACCTTAACAGCAGCAGTGTTTTTATTCCACTCCACACCAGGAGTTAAAGTTACTGCTGCTAGTTTAGCCTGGAAGGAGCATTGTTCCACATTCAGCCTATCATCATCCCCTCACCTCACTGCTGCTCTGCCACTGAAACCCAGACTTCAGCTGTTCCCACGGGACAAAGCCGGTCTGACAAGCTAGAAACAGGTTAACACCGTGCTGCAGCCTAGAAACAGGGGCAAGCAAGCCCCACCACAGAGCTAGGGCCTGCCAAAGCAGCCTCCTTTTCCTCCCGCTGCCTGTGAACCACAACACAGATGCTAGAAACCAGCATGCTAGTGTTGCCCGTGACCTTTGAGAAACTAGAAAGCAGTATACTGGAGCTGACTGTGTAGCCCTCTTCAAGTTAGCTCAGAACCAGTCACCGAAGCCATTTACACACCGGTCTGCTGTGGCCTTTCCAGGCATTCAGCATCGGGAAGTTTCCAGCACAGTTTGTGTCATCCCAAAAGACAGGGATTTGACAACCCCAGCCCTGCAGCCTTTTGTCAAGCACGTGCCCTGGGGAAGGAGCCCCACGCAGTCCTGCTGCTGGCTGGCACACCCCAACACCCCTCCGGGCACCAGACCCCTCGCTCCCAAGCCACACGTGAGGCCCATCAGGAGGCACATGTTATCCAGGGGACTGGTCCAGCCAGGGTCTGTGCCGAGACAGGCCATAACTGCTCACCTTTGCAGCAGCTCTTCCCACAGCATATTAAAAACTTTGTGGGAATAAGCTTCTTAATGGCAAGGAGTGCCTCCAATTAAGCCTGCAGAGCACCATTAAGTTTCCCAAATCCTTTTACAGCGCTGTAAGTCTTGAGCGATACTACCAAGCATGTTTTGAAATAGTGAAACTACACGTTTTTAGCTCTACTGGGGACTGAAGAAAATCTGCTGCAATGATCGCTTCCTGGAACAGTCCCAGAAAACTGAAGGAGTAGCTTTGTTACAGCAATTAAAGGAGCCTGCTACACAGAGAGAAAGAGAATCCAGTTACATAATTGCAGCCCTATGATTACAATACTTCAATTCTTCACTCTGCCTGCAGTTGAAGACTTCTATTGCAACCCTAATTTACACGTTTTGGATACAAGGTTTAATAGAGCACTGCTATTAACATACACTAATAGCATCAGGAGGAATGACAGGAACTGAGCTCCAACGCCAACAGAGAGCACACGCCCCTGCCACAGCTCTGGAAGAGCCACTTCCAGGCGGTTTGCTGCCCTCCATGCTGCAGTTTAAGCCAGAGGGTGTGAGCCTGTGGCCCAGAGACCCCCTGCAAGACAAGACGTGGTGCAGACCAGCCCAACAATCGCCTTCAAATTTGGATTCACTACCCAGGAATCTGGCAAGCCCTTGAGAAAGTCTTCTGGGGGGTCCAGCCCAGAGGAAAAGGGAAGTAGCAGAAATTCACTTGTGGGTCATTCTTCCAGGAAAGCCTCTTTGGGGAGAGCGGGCAAGCAAGCCTTCGCACACACCAGGCCTTCGCACACCTCCACCGCACGCCAAGTTCAGAGGGCATTTGCTGTTACACAACCAGCCACGGAGTGACCTGCAAAAAGCATCTTCCTTCCTCATTGTTGAGGCAAGGAGCATCTCAGTGCAGGCCCATGCTGCCGAGGGCCAACAGCGTCATTGACAAAAAAAAAAAAGCAACCCAACAATTATCCTTCAGTAGAGCTGCAAGCGCTGGCCAGCCTGCCCTCCTCAGCACCGCACCGCTCCAGGGCACAGCATCCTTCACGGGCCAACCATGACAGGAGCTGGCAGCCGGCTGTGCTGCCAGAGGGAGGGTCCCCTGCACCCTCCACAGGGCAGGGAGCAGCTCTTAGCATCACCCCATCCACCCACCCGAACAGCACAGAGTGGGACCCCAGTCTCAGCTCACTCCCCCATGGGGTTAGAGGCATCCTCCCTACAAGGCAGCCCACCAGCACCACATAAACATCTTATCCCTAAACCACAAGATCACAGCTGGCCCTCGGGGTTTTGCTACCCAAATCTGGCCCTCTCTGAGGAGAGCCACAAAGCCCCAGCACCCAGCCCAGGGTAGGACAGGCCTGGCAAGGGGTAACAGTACAGCTCCAGCAGCCACCCCTTCCCCAGCTCAGGAGGGGGTCTTGAGGGAGCAAGAAAAGACCACAGCCCTAGCAGCCACTCCAGGGCAGGATGAGGCCTTAGGAGGGGGATTAGGCCCAAGCCAGCACACAACCCTTCCCTCAGCAGGGCAGAATGAGGTCTTGGAAGGAGTATGAGGCCCAAGCCCAGCACTCAACCACTCCCCTGGCAGGACAGGATGGGGCTTTGGGAGGGGGATGAGACCCAAGCCCCCACACCCACTTTTTCCCTCCCAGGGCAGGATGGAGCCCTAAGAGTGAGACGAGGCCCAAACCCAGCACCCGCACCTTCCCCCCGCCAGAACAGCATGGAGCCTGAGGACAGGGATGAGGCCCAAGCCCAGCACCCAGCCCTGCCTCACCAGCACAGCATGGAGACCGAGGAGGGCGATGAGGGTCAAGCCCAGCACCCACCCCCTCCCCCACCA